CGCCCAGCGTCTGGCAGTAGGGGTTGGAGGCCGGAGGCCGCAGTGAGAGCTTGGCGCAGGGCGAAGGCAGGAGGGGGGTGGCCGGGCTGCAGCGGCAGCAGCGCGGTGCCAGGCGCGCCGCTGGGCCGAGGGGCGCCGCCTGCTCTGGGGCCTGAGGCCGGGGGATGCTGCAGGGGCTCTTGGGGAGGGGCAGGTCCGTCGTGCTCCCTGCAGCGCTGAGACAGGGCAGGGCAGAAGCAGCATCGCTCGTGAGCGTGACTGAGAGTCCTGGAAATGTCTTTTCGGTCTGTAACCGTCTGTGTGAGGGGACAGAGGAGGTACCTGCTGTGCCACGTCTAATGCTGGTCTGTGGTTGAGGCCGTGTTCTTCTATCCACCTTCCTACTGCTGGCATTTTCTGTTTACTTGCTCATGAGTATTTTGGGCTGTTCACAGAAATGTATCACTGGGAGCATTTTGATTTTTTTTTTGTACCCGTTAGGTGATGTTATTTCATGTGTTCCTTCTGAGCAGAGGACAGCTTTGATTTATAAGTCGGAGCTCCTCTTGTCCTTCCTGAACCTGAGTGAGAGACAGTGCTCACCCACAGGCTCCTCTTTGAGATGTTTTGCTTCTTACTGAAATGTCCAGTGACCTCCTGAAGCACCCAAGAGCATCCACATCCTGAGTGTTTGCTACTTATTAAACCATCCTCCCCTCAAATCGTCAAGTAGCAGGGACCAGGGACACGCATTTTCCATTCAGATCCTCACCCCTCTTGCTGTTTTCATGTACTTTTCCCACTGTCTCAGCTACAAAATTGTGGAGAAATTGTCATTGCGTTTCTGTTCTGTTTCTGTTTAAAGGAACAGGTGCTTATATTAGCGATTACTTATCAGATGATTTGGTGGCCTGTTGATGTGATGTACCCAATATGGAAAGACTGAACTCATCCAGCAAAGCCAGGATGCTGGATTGTGAGCAGTTAGAAGTGCACGGGCTTACCTGCCAGATAAATGTGGTAGGTTTTGACTGAGCTACAAGATGAGCATGTGAAGGGCTGATGGTAGGTTTAAGAGAGCTGAATTTTAGTATTTTTATTATTTTGCATGCCCTCCCACCAGGGTTATTGAAAAGTCTATCCAAGTCATGAGAGGAATAACTAATACTTGAGCTGAAGATGAATGGAAACCATAACCGAAGGGTAAGAAAGCAAAGTGAAGAGCAGACCTAGGAGTGTGGGAAGGACAGCATGTTCAGGGAATGGCTGGCTTTGAAGACAACCTGTTTCAAAGCAGATGCTGTAACTGGAAGTAAGGATGGTAAAACACATCAGTGGCACTAGGAAAGCAATATACCGTGTGCTGAGGAGTAGTGAACCCAAGAGGTTGTAAGAGGAGCCACATGTAGAACCGCTGAAGCTTGGTGGAAACTTCTCCCTTCTCTGTGTGGGTATGCATGGGTGGTGGCCTGGGCAAGTTTCCTTGTAGGAGAAGATCCTGGTGACCGAGGGAATGGGCGAGTTCTGGAAGCAGTCACAGCTGGGGCAGCTGCTTGTAAATGGTGGGCTGCAAAAAGGAGAGCTGGCAGCATGGCAGAGCACCAGAAATGCCGTGAAGGTTTGGGGGCTGGGAGGTATTGTGGTAGTCTCCTCATGTGGTAGTCCACTGGAGGGTTGAAGTTGCACTAAGGGACTTCGTTCGTTGCATGGCACTCTTTAGCTGTCTTCTGCCATGAAATTGTATTAAAATGTAGCTTACGAAGCAACCAGGGCTTTCATGGTATTTTCTGTACCTGATAATTCAGTATTTTGTTGCAAGTCTCTTTGTTATTGTTGTCGTCAATACTGAATGAGACCCTGTTTCTTTTGACATTTTAATTACTACGTTTTTATCAAAAGAAGGCAGAATTGAGGTTTCTCATAAAGATGACATGCAAAGCATAAAGATGTTTTGTGCTGATTCACCTCTCTGGGTAACTCCCTCTTCGGTGCAAATCACCCATGTCTGGCTCGATACTGTTTTCTGTGGAAAACTTTTTTGGTGTCTTAAGACCTTGTAACATCGTAGTTGCCTTCAAGGGATGCCCAGAGCCTTGTAAAGAAGAGCTGTTCTTGAAATGCATTGTTTTTAATACCTCCTGAGGTTTAGCAACCAGCAGGCAGTTGGGAAAGAAGGGTTCTGGTAGATGTTGCTAAACCTCAGTTCCCTGGGCTGGTGGATGAGATGTTTATTTGAGTTCTTACGATTCCTTAGGGACAACTTCACTGTAAAACCAGAGAAAGCGAGACTTGATGTTAAAGAGATCCCAACGTTAAACAGAACTAAATAAATAGACAGTAGCGATTATTCAAGCTGCTTGTGCAAAAGGAAAAATAAAAAAGGATGGGACTGTGCTAAATTGCCGTTTCAGATCACCTTTTACACGATTCCTCCATAAAATCAGTGTTTGATTCCTTAGATGTTTCTCTGCTGGGGTTGGATATTTGCCCTAGCAACAGCCTCTAGTGCTGTGCCAGGCTCTGCCCAGCAGGACGAAGTTAGAGTTTTTTCTAAATTTGCAGATGCTTCTCATTCCTTCCCGCATGGCAGTTTTTGACTGGTCCTTCTTCCTGTTTCAGCCTGAAAGGATAGATCCCAGCGCATCCAGGCAAGGCTACGACGTCCGCTCAGATGTCTGGAGCTTGGGAATTACATTGGTGAGTGAGAGAGTGGGGTTTAAACCTCTGCTGCACGGCCCTTGCCTGGTCGTGGCCTTGGTGCGCTTTGCAGCGCGATGGAGTAGGTTGGTGTCAAACGCACGCGTGAAGCAAAGCGCAGCTCCACTGCTGTGCAACGTTCGCGTGTTGTGATTGAGGTGGGCACCTTCTGACTCGGAAACAGTGTAAATCCCTTGAAGGCAGATGGCTCTCCTGAACCCCTGAGGATACATTTAGCTGCAGCTATGTTTTGCAGAGAAAGAGATGTGAGCAGGGAAGAGGTGTTGGATCATAAATTAATGTTGTCTTCAGCGTCTCAGATGATAAGGGATAGTGAACGTGGTGGTGCAGAACAGAGGGTCCAGCCTGTGTAAATAAGCCTCTCGCAGCCCTGGCCTCTGGTGTGCTTCCGCTGTGCAGAAGACTTCAGTTAATCCTGGATCGCGGTTGCCGATTCCTCTCTGGCTTAACCACAGCGCTGCTGAGTACAGACATGGATAAATTGAAAGGATCTTCCCTTCTTGAGGTGGTGAAGTAGAAGAGAAAGCAGAAGCAATAAGTATGAGCCAGTAGCTTCTGTCTTCCCCACTGGTGTTTTGAAATGTTCGTTTTCATTGTCCTGCAAGGAGCGGGGAGTTGGACTCAGTGATACTTAGGGGTCCCTTCCAACTTGAGGTGTTCTGTGATTGTGTGATTCTCATTATCCATTTTCTCTAGCTGTCGTTAGGGTGCTTGGGAAGGGACTGTAGCAGTTTAGTCTCTTACTTTTGAAAGCCTTGGTAAGATCATTGGTTCACTTTGTAGTCAGCAGAAGAGGACGTTGTCAGCATAAAAGCAGGGCATAGCCAGGTTAAATCTGGAGGTGCTCCTGATACAGGCAGCAGAACTTGCTGTTGGGTAAAACTTTCCCTCCTGTTCTCTCTCAGCTGAGCTTCGTATGGGGAATGGGATGAAGAATCTCATTTTACTCTTCCTTTTGGGAGATTCAGGGTCCTTGCAGACATACTCTTACCCTGTTGAACTTCTCTTGTGTAATCTGCCTGTTGCTGTTGCTGTCTCTCTGCAGTATGAGCTGGCGACTGGGCGATTCCCCTACCCCAAGTGGAACAGTGTGTTTGACCAGTTGACACAAGTGGTAAAAGGAGACCCACCGCAGCTGAGTAACTCAGAGGAAAGGGAGTTCTCCCCAAGTTTCATCAACTTCGTCAACTTGTGGTAAGTGTTTCCTACTGAAAGCACTTGGAGTAGGCTTGTTTTTTCATTGCTAGGTGTT